GATATCGTCCTCTTTTGGAAGACCAAACAAAGTAGTTTCGCTTTCACAACGAATCACAGCGTCTCTAGGACTACAGTGAGAATAAAAATTACGCCCTCTTTCTTTGTGTATACATTTGGGCGGTGTTATGCAAATCTTCCCACACAGTGACGTAGACATGTGCGCACTGATGACATTTAAATCTGATCTCTCTTGAATGAATACTGATGTGATAATTAAGGTTTTCTTTATATCTGAAACTCCTGCCGCACTGATCACATGTGAATGGATTCTCTCCAGTGTGACTCCTTGTGTGAGCCTGTAGGTTTCTTTTAATGGTGAAACTCTTTCCACACTGAGGGCAGGTGAAAGGCTTCTCTCCAGTGTGAAGTCTTATGTGGCCAATCAGGAGATTTTTCTGTGTAAAACTCTTTCCACACTGAACACATATGAAAGGTCTCTCTCCAGTGTGAATCCTCGTGTGAGTCTTAAGGCTTCCTTTACGTGTGAAACTCTTCCCACACTGTTTGCAGGTGTAAGGTCTCTCTCCCGTGTGAATTCTCATGTGGGCGTTAAGGAGTTTTTTCTCTGTAAAACTCTTTCCACACTGAGAGCATATTAATGGTTTCTTCTCAGTGTGAATTTTCATGTGAGTCTTAAAATATCCATTTGAGAAACTCTTCCCACACAGTTTGCAGGTGTAAGGTTTCTCTCCAGTGTGACTTTTTATGTGGGCATTAAGGGTACTTTTCTGAGTGAAACTCTTTCCACACAGTTTGCAGATGCAAGGTTTTTCTCCAGTGTGAATTCTCATATGGATATTAAGGTATTGTTTCCGTCTAAAACACTTTCCACACTGAGGGCATATTAATGGTTTCTTTTCAATGTGAAATTTCATGTGCATTGTAAAGCTTCCTTTCCGATTGAAAATTTGTCCACACTTTTGGCAGGTGAAAGAGGTCTCTCCGGTATGAACTCTAATGTGGGAATGAAGGTTTGTACTTTGTGTTTTTTGAGCTTTTTTGGGTGAGGAAGTCTTTTCAGTTTGTGAGGAACTAATCAATTCTTCTTCAGTTTTGAAATCATGCTGTTTTTCATTTTGATCTTTCTCTTCTGTTTCATTCAGTTCTTGACTCTCCTCATTCAGCGCCATCAAGTCTGAGGTGAAAAGAGACAAATACAAGTTAACATCAGTTTAATGCAGAAGCTAGAACACTTAGTAGTCACACTGACCACTGTCTGCATCATCTTAGTCTGGAGGACCGAGAATAAGCAGTTACTGGCCACAGCATTTGCCAAGTTTAGTCTGAAACGAAAGAAGTGCCGGTCCTCACTATACACAAAGTATGCAAGTTGCGTACAGCCCTTAAACCACTGCTCAGACATTCCACGACCCATTGCAGCTGTGCAATTAATAGAATCTTAGTTGCATTTTATTATTTCGACTTTCAACAATTATGATGCAAGGAGTGAAATTATTTTCTTATGAAATTAACTCCTCAAGAAGCCAAAACTCAGGAACTCACACAAAACAGATGCCATGCAATAAAACTTATCTGGAGAAGAACTCTCCAAAGAGAGCAAACAACACCTCTCTCCTCGCTCATTTACGACCCCCTTCTCTTGCTGTCAGGTATGCATCTCTTAGATTCAATCTTTGAGCAATCAATATTATGCATTTATCTGAATTGGAACTGAATTTAATTCTGAATTGGCTTCTAATTGTTTCATTATGTAATTGGCATGATACAATTTTACCTGACAAATAATAAATTGTTATATTTGATTTATTCTGATCTCTTCTGAAATCATTTTTC